CCGATCTCGGCTTCCACTCTCCCCCTCCCCTTTTTTTCCCCAACCATAGCGAAAACAGCTAATGTGAGTGGTTCCTGACTGAAATGAAGTTCCCATCAAAGGCACATGCCCGCTAGTCCGCGCTGGTGGTTGACGGAGACACCCTACTATTGCATTCTCCATAGGTACGCTCCTCTTTCGAACCCTCATAGGTACGCTCCTCTTTCCATCACGTTTAGAAGGAAGAGCGAGTCGCCACTGAAAATCTGTACATCCCAGCTCATACAGCAACCAGAAATGACTTATGTATTACAATCCAGCTCCCATGTGAGAGGGTGCCGATGCATTCTCCTTTTTCTTGTTCCACGTTTACTGTCTGCCCTCGCCGCAGAAAGCGAGGTCCGCTGTTTCGGTGTCGTAAGTACAAGTTTCCCCGACTGTCTGGTCGGATTAAAAATGGCTTTTGTTCTCACCGTGTGCAGCATGTCAAATCAGCGCATCTGGGAACGTTTGGGCCGCCTGGGCGAGTGACGTCAGCATCTCGAACTGGAGGGTAGCCTTATGAAAGGTGTCAGCCCTCGCGCAGCTTGCCTACCATAAGTGCTTGACTGTATGCACGAGTCCTATTTCTCTCTCAGGAAAACTCTGGATTGCACAACGTCACTATGCAGTGTGTATGGCGTGTGGCGTGGTTGCGATGTGCGTATCGCGTATCGAAGTTTTTTCCTTCCCATAGTGCTCTCATGCGCTGCTGCTGTCCAGAGTGTCGCCTTTGAAGCGATGTACTGTCATGTGGGTGAGCCAACGGTGTCATTAGCTAACCCTCTCTTCCCGTTTTTTTTCACGGCCATAGAAGGGAGAGAAGATCGGAGTCAGTGGCGTCGTTTCCTAGGTGCTGCGGTCACCCAGCTGTCTCGATTCGGTACTCAAACACTTATGAAGACCATGTGAGGATATTTGCCAATTTTCAGGTTGCGACCGCGAGCGATTCGTTGAAGATCCTGAGTATCGAAAAGAGTCAATTATAGGACTAGCCATGTAAATTTTTTGGATAAAATTTTCTGAATTACTATGTTTTCTTACTATAGTTTTGATTACTCTCAGGACTGAAGATGAAGAAATGTACGCTGATGCTCTTCGGCTGGCTGAAGACTTCAAAATGAATGACTGGCCAGTACATTTCGCCTCGCTGGAGAATGCACTTACTTCGTAAGTGTTCAATATTTGTTGAATCACGCTAACTTATGTGCACTCCTAAGCAAGCATTCATTATTAGCCTTCAACACGGTTGAACTTCCGCGTTGAATTGATATCAATGACACGCGCATTACCTCCTCGTTGTCTTCGCGCTATTGTGTATTGCCACAATTCACCGTTTGTCTTAGGTCGGTTTTTTTTCCGTGGCATAATTTAGTGCGAATTGAACCATTCTTACACTGCAGCTATATATTCAATGACCTTAAGTCATGCCTTAGTTCTTGATGGCGTTGAAACAGGTGCTACTTTGTTCGTTGAATTCATTAGCATTAAAAAATAACATCAAATAATTGCACTTCTTATGATTGCTCCGCATCACTGCAATGGTAGTAAGACTTCTAGAGATTATTACAAATGTTAATTCACAACACATTTGATAGTGTTCAAGTCGTTATGATAATAATATTGGGTCGCCCCATAAGTAATGGCGTTTTTTTTTTTCTCACTCAAAATATCGCTCTGAAGAAGAAGGGTTTCTCCATTGAGTTTTTATTACACTCTAGGCCAGAAGTAGCTCCTTGCCCCCCCTACCATGAATCAGTATTCCTAGCTCTTCAAATTTCTTTTTCATTAGTATTTTCAGTGATTAAATGCGAGTGTCACAGTTAGCCGAAAATGGAGCAGTTTTCTACAGCCTAAATAAACTCATTTATACCCCTAATTAAAAAGCTAAAACCGCATGGGTCCAGCTGGGAAGTATATGGCTAAAAGGCTACGTTTCGTAGGAATATTACTAAAACTTCAAGTGATTTGAAGATTTCAGTTTCGACCCCACAGACAAGCATCAAACCTAATGCCCTATTCTGTCAGACTGGAAGCTTACGGAATCACCTTGTTAAACTGTAGAATCATGCCATAAGTGGTAGAGGAAACATTAAAAGCGGTCTTAGATACTGTCCTTTGTTCATTTATCAAGCCATCACCTCGTTCGTGGCGCTGAAGAACGTTCAAGAACTACATGTGCGATGCGTGTTCGCAATGCAACCGGGTGCCCCCCACAGCGACCGAATTTTCCATTTAATGAAATACAAATCAACGGAACACCATGAAAATAGTAAAGGGACAGCAAACCATACTATCATATAGACAGGAAATTTCCATCTATCGATAACATTTGTAGAACATATGGAACCAATTGTCGTTTTTCCATATAAAAAATCTGTGCCCGTGTAACCAAAAAAACTCAATTACTTGTGGGCTAACCCAATACTTATTTCATAAAAACTGACGTTTAAATCTTCTACGTTGTCCAGATCTCCATCTATGCAGCAAAAAGAAGTCATTATTCATACTGAATAATGTAGAAATGAGCGCAAAAGTGACCAGAATGAGCGTGTAAAGGGGTATGCGGCACAAAGACTCCCGTTTCGCGCGTTCGTGTATTGCATTCAATACACGCGCGCGGAGACGCAGGAAGTCAAAACGGGAGTCGCCGCAAAAACGCCGCGGCGTTCAATGTGTTAAACATGGGTTATGGGACTTTGTTATAATTCCTACTCTATCTAACT